ACCCTCTAGAGTAGCAAGGAACAGAAAGGAATTTCTGACTGCCTAGTACATCCAAAAGCACCACTGTAATGGGGAAAGGTAATGCAAAACTCACTTTTTACTTCATACGTGTAGTAGAAGGAAGGAAAGTAGGAGCATGAAAATGAAGGAAAGGTTCACTCATCTTCTCAAACTCTTTCTCTAAACACAGTAAGGTACTCCATTGGTCTGCACTGTCACTATAAAGAGGGGTCAATAACAATATGCCTACCTGACAGAGAGGCATTATTGAATACCCAGATTGCTAATTTGGGAGTGATTATATATATAGTGACTGAAAGCATAGAAATGGGGTGGATGGAGTCTATATTTCTCACCAAATTCTGCAAGGTTCCTGCTTTTTGTTTCTCCTGAAGCCTCTTCCCACACCCCAAAGTCTTTTTTTTTTCTTTTAACAATGTCTCTTGGGTAATAAACACAGTCTCATCTCAAAACCCACTTTTCTGATTTTGAGATGAGATTTTCAGATTCTTGGGTCTGTCTTGGTCAGGAGGTTGAATCTCTGGGTACGGACCGCTGTTGTCATCCCCAAGCGTGCCAGTATTAGTGTATTGCTTTCAGCTTCTTGTAGCCACTGGATTCAGCTGGTTCCAGATCATAGTATGCTTTCTGGGATTCACCAGAAAGAAATGGTGCTAGCAGACTTGCCCATTCAACTGTTGGACAACCTTCTCGCTCAGCGGTTCACTCAAACGCCATCAGGTAGGCCTCCAAATCATCTTTTGCAGGTAGTGACTCACTCTGATCACCTTGGGACATTGTGGTGATTCTGTGGCATCCCTGGCCAGCCTTTGTGATAGGCACTGGATCTCCTCCTGCTTCAGCTTGCTTGAATAAAACATCTGTATTTTCCTTTTGAGCCAGTACAAGTTGCTGCAGTTTTGAAATGCTCACTTACTGTATTGCATTAGTCTCCGCAGTCCTTCTGTTTGTCTCTTGCTGTACAGCAGTGGACTGGAGCAATGCTTTCATGACATCCTCCATTTCTCCCAACTTACAGACTTTGCAGTGTGTTGCCCGGATCCTCCACCATATGTGACCAAAGTTCTCCTTTCCTTTGGTACCTTGTCCTGGAATTAGAGTGTTACACAGTCTTTTTCGGGCTTCAGAGACACTTCACACACTGGATGAGATAAAAGGATTTGTGGCTCCAAAATTTAACAGTGTGCAGTAAAGTATAAAAAAGATATAACAAAATAAAGAAACACAAAATTCTTGCTCTTCTGAGCACTAACTTAACAAAATAACAGACTAACTGGGTTGGATGGCTTGTCCATTTCCCAACATAAACACCCACCTTACTGTTTTAGGTTCTTTCAGCTTTCTCTTTCAACTCACAGGAAGTGGACACTCTCTCTACTCCTTCTATGACAGGGGAGTACTTTATAGCACCTGCAATTAACTATCTTTTGAAGGTGAGGTAAATCAGAGTGTTGAAACTCTGGATCCTGACTCCTCATCCGCAGTTTCCCAGCAACCTCCAAAATCTGGAGTGGAGCACTGGCCCACCCTACTCTCCACCCCAGGGCCCAAGCACAATAATATAAAGTGCAATATTAATTTTAAAACAACACGTTTCCCTGGGGCTAATCTTCTGCATTTCACAAAGTAGGAAGCTTTCAGAATTTGGGGAGATATATATAGACTCCATCCAGCACAATTCCTTGCTTTCGGTCAATATCTATACAATATATATATATATATATAAATCAACAAAAAAAACGGCACTCCAAGGATATTCAAATGGTTTCTTCTTTTATTCCAAACTAGTCATCAATGTTTCAGCTCCTTCATTGAGCTTTCATCAGGATACTTGTACTTGTATCCTGATGAAAGCTCCATGAAGGAGCTGAATCGTTGATGACTAGTTTGGAATAAAAGAAGAAATCCATTTGAATATCCTTGGAGTGTCGGTATTTTTGTTGATTTAGTGTTTGGCTACCAGAGCACCAGGCATCATCTTCTTTTAAGTTGGAGTGCAGGAATTTTCTACATTTTAAGAATATTATTATTATTTTTGTATTATTTTTTTTCCCCAGATTTTCAGAGCGTTTTGTAAAAAGTGAACAATGGAGTCATTTGTGTGTGATTTGTAAATTCTAGGATATGGGGGAAAAAAAGTTGCTAATATAAATAAATGCTAGGACACAATTTTTCTTAAGAAAAGTCAATAGTTCATGCTGCTTTCTTAGAAAAATAACATATGTAATCCTCATATCTTAATACTTACTTAAATGGCAGTACTCCAGAGATATCAGAGTTTCCTCGGTTCCTGGATTTTTGATTAAACACCCTACACACATTGTTTAAGGCAAGCAAGATAAAAAAAAAAAAAAAAGATATTTATACATTTTCGTATTGCCATCATGCTAAAAGGGACAAACAGAGATAACTATGAAAAGGTTGAAAGGGCATTGCAAAAAATAATAACAGCTCTGTCAGACGCTCCAGTTCCAAAAATGTGCATTAGAAAGCAGAGTGCACTCAGTATTTTAAATGAAAGTTTACAATGAACAATACGGGGCTTATGTTGCAGGCCAGGTCTGAGAATAAATAAATGCGAAAAAAGATAGAGAGCAATCAAAGAGTCTAAGCATCAGAGAACTGGCAGGACATCAACAGATCCCAATCTAAACCAAGAGTGCATAATGGAACAGGTATGAACAGACTCCAATAATAGAATACAAATTGGCAAATTAAAAGGATTAATCTGGCTGCAGCAGACACTTTTATCTTTTATGTGTCACACAGTTTAGAATAGAAATAATTTTAAAATACACTTGCTTTTGTAATTCTTAGATTTCGTACAAATAACCTCGATCTGTACCTTTGACAGTAAGCTATCACGAATCACACAACGTTATCCAATAATGTGTGCATTGCCAGTGATTTTAAAGTGAATTGAAAATTTAGGCCACAATAGCTAAATTGGAAAACCAAATCCATTATGGTCTCCTTTAAGTTATTTTTTACCAAAATTTTGGATTTCACCTCGATTCTGTGCAGTTCTTTTTTCACTGAAAAGCCTGCAAGAGGTGTCTGAAAAGCTGCATATGGAAGATTTGTGCATATGGTATAAAACTCTAGTAGGTTATTCACTAACAAAAAAAAAAGAATTGTCAGGAATTCCAAGTGAATTTTAAATTGTCAGCTAAAATTTGGGGGGCCTGTCAAGTCCCAAGGTTCTAAATATTATGTTTACTAACCACCATATTAAACAAATATTATTTATTCTGCAAATGAATGCCTAAAACCTTAGCTCCTTGCCACTTATTGTTGTAATCTCTGTCCTTTGCACCAATGTTTATAATTCTCCTCTGCATTTGCAATGTTTGTCACATATTTGCCTTGTCCCAACTGGATCATAGTGGAATTTGCTAAATCTTTAATTAAAATTTAAAGGAAAACACATCCCATGAAAAAAGATTTAACAGACATTTTAGTTGATTTTCAATGTTTCAATCAACTTTCTTCATGAGTGAAATTATTGCAACCATGCATTCCTGTGAGCTCTTATTATTGATTGATCCCTCTTGTGATCAAATCAATTACCACCATTTACCTCGTATCCTATCGGGATAAATAACTTTTTTCAGAGCTTGTCCCGGTATTGCCATCTTTCACCCAGGCAATTAGAGTAGAATGGACACACTCGTTAAAACCAATAGGAAATAATATTCAGCTTTACTCACAAATGTATCAGCATCGCCGGAAAACAAAAGAGCAAATTATAATATCAATATGGTATCGGACATGAGTCTGGATCCTTCTTTTAGATCTCATGAAATCCAACCTTTGTTGAAGACGGGGTTGAAGCCTTGCTTCTTCCTTTCAAATATGGTGATTGTCCATGCGCATTCAACCCACACGGATGGCTATTTTGAAACATGTAATCTATGTGAAAGTCCTCCTAAACCACATCAGATCTCCATATAATAAAGAAATAAATAAATAATAAAGTTATTTTAAAAAGCAGTTGCAGTGCTATTCTACATAAAAGATGGCTCACCAGGATTGGACTACAAAGACTGGGTAAGTGCTTGCCATTTGTTTGTTTTTAATCTTTTTTTTTTTAAAAGCTTTGCTGATCCGAAGGCACGCTTACTGTTCAGGCTGACTTCCTGGAGACTCCCGGTTAAATGCTGTGGTCCTCTGTGTTTTTGTTAACTATCACGATCTCTGTAAGGGTGCATTTTGAGATTATAACCACATTATATTTTGTATTGTGGTCACTGTCTAAATGCAAGCTAAAATAAAGAAATGTAAAAGCTTTGCTGATAATAAATATTGGATTTTAGCACCACTGGCAATCTGTTCTGTTCCATATTGGGGAGTGTCACCCCACAATTTGACACCAGGCATCTCCACCTTAGAGACAAGGCCACAATAAGCTCTAAATAAGGTGAGAGTCTCTTTAATATCTTGTTCTGGGTGTATGATAGATAGATAGATAGATAGACATCCTGCACCAAAATGTTTATATGTGTTTACCCTGAGGGTGATTTCCGCCCAAGAAGGTGGGGTGCTGCCTATAAGAGCACATCTGTGTCTTTATAGAGCCTTATCACCAGGCTCTGAATATTGTGAGTGTATCTACTATATTTTATTTGGATAGTACCATCTGCACTAGTGTTTCTTTATCTCTTCTTACACCTAGATCTTAAACACAGCAATAATCACCAAGGTTATGTTTTCTGTTTGATAAACTATGTAACATCACACAAAAATCAGCCCTTATTTGGTTGAATTAATTTTCGCAGACCAACAGTCTAAACCAAAAAAAAACAAAAACAACCTGCAACATTGCAAAATGCATGGTGCTTAGAGAACCTCCAACCTACTCATTTTGGAGAATGAGATATACTGGCATTTATTTGTAAAAAAAAAAAATAACCCTAAGACAGGAATAAAGGTCATCAGTCAGGCGGCCTGAAACAATGAATTTCTAGGTGCCAGTGTAACTTTGATGTGGGGTATACACACTGCACGCAAAATAGAGAATACATCACAGGGATCAAAATAACCGCAGAGAGATCAGTGTTCTTCCATGTAGCTTTCTTACAGGATGACAATTCCAACGGGTCAGTTTGTAATAGTACTGCCTTAGTTGAAGGGAATCTATACAATCAGTGCCATACTGCCTAATATTCCATTCAGCAGAAGGTGGTAAAAACCTATGGGGGAAAAAAAGAATCTCAGGGTTTGTTTCATGGAAATTCTCATCAGAAATAACCACTTCCTGGCAAAATATTTACGTGATTTCTTTGTTTCAGCAGAAAAGAAAACGAATCCAGAATATCTGCTAATTCTTGATTGTGGATAGGGGCTCATTGTGCACGCTCCTAAATGTTGCTTCCAAAAGTGAGCACTCACCAATAGCAAGTTTTCAGGCTCGGTTTTTCATTACAGATTTGTGACCTACTTTCAAAGCAATGTTCTTTTGTTGTGCATAAATATTTTTGTGGCATAGTGCTGCTTAAATATTCAAATATTAAGCCTTTCAGACTGTATAATAAATTCGAACTGCAATTACAGCATTTTTATTTTTTTTTATTTCCTGCCCAGTTTTGTTACGTATAATACATGTGTATGCTTCCTGGTAAAATACTTTATAAATAAATGTGTATGCTACAACTGGTGGAGCAAGAGTTCTTATCCAGGTTCTGGTGGTGAAAAGGTAAAACATGGTGGGTATCTTATTTCTAAAAAATGCATTTACAGGGTTATTCACAAAGCTACATGATATGGACAATAGTATTGAGACACCTGACCATTACACCAACAGGGACTTTTGTGACATTGCCTTTTAAATGCATTAAAAGTAAAATGTAGTTTGTTACCCCTTTGCAACTATAACGGCTTCCACTCTTCTGGGTAGGATCTCCTCAAGTTTTTGGAGTGTTTCTGTGTGAATTTTTGCCTATTCATCTCAAACTTTTTCCCTAAACACAGTGAAGTTGGATGAGAAGGCCTGCCTCTCTCCGTTCCAGTTCACTCAAAAAGTGTTTGATGGGTTTGAGTTCAGGGCTCTGTTCGGCCAGTTAAGTTCTTCCACACCAAGCTCATCCAACCATCTCTTTATGGACCTTGGTACTACTGGGCACAGTCATGCTGAAATAGAAAACTGCCTTCCGTCAGAGAAACTGCTATGTTTCACTAAGGTTAATCCAGCCTCTAGTGGCTGTCTCATTGACAGCCGCTAGAGGCGCTTCTCACTGTGATTTTCACAGTGAGAAGACGCCAGCGCCCATAGGAAAGCATTGAGAATGCTTTCCTATGGACTGGCTGAATGCGCACACGCGGCTCCTGCCGCGCATGCACATTCAGCCGATGACGTCGCTATGGAGTAGAGTTCCCCACCCGGCGCTGGAGAAAAAGGTAAGTTTAACCCCTTCCTCTCCTTAGAGCTCAGCAGGATGCTTTCCTGGCACTATAGTGGTCCTTTAAAGATGGAACTTCTTATTGGTTACATTATCCAACCAGAGTTCTAGGGAAGAATTTTTTTTATTTTTTTTTGCATATTTCCTTTTTATTAGTTTTGGGTAGTAGCCTGATGCATAGTACATTTGCTGGCGCAACAGCGTGTTGACTAAGTACACAAATACATTTATACATCGCTAGTCTTTGTGGCCAACTACCTGATGTTGACCGCAAATTTATCGGTGTTAGGTTATTCTTTTTTTTATTGCATGTTGGCTTGTCTTGGGTATTCCTCACAGTGTACAATGGTCACCTGTAAGCCTTAGCATGGTGTGCAGGTGTAGCTTATATCTCACTCGTTACATGCATCCCAGTACAGAAAGGAAAAGGTTAAGGGAAGGATGAAACATTCAACTTTTAACTTTAGAACTGCGTACCTGCGTAATCTGGGCAATTGCGTCTTGTGCGCTTAACCTTGTGTTCACTTTTAAGTCTGGACCCCCACCCTGTTTGGTCACCTTGATCTTGGGTTACTCAGTTGTGTTGTCTATCCCGTCTGTCCTGTCACTTACTCGAAAGCTCTGCCATCCACCCCATTGGGTAGAGTGTTGCTCAGATATCCCTTGCAATCTAAATGCCATCTGCTTGTAAAGGCATATGCTATCCACCCTATTTGCTACCTCCTCTATGGTTGGAGGTGTATCGCTTTTCCAGTACGAGGATATCACAATTTTGGCTGTTGTTAACATGTTCAGAGCAATTATGGTTGAGGAGTGTCTGGTTGGGCTGGTCATTGGTAGCATATGGAGCAGGTAGTGTTCGGGAGACTGTGGTCATGCTTGTGGCTGCGTGTATGAGCGTTTGGATGGATGTCCAGAACGGGGTTATGATTGGGCATTCCCAGAAAACATGTATCACGTCCCCGGTTTGTTTTTGCATCTCCAGCATAATGGGGAAACAGTGGGAAAAATCTTGCACAGTCTTAGGGGTATTACGTACCAGCGCATTGTGATTTTACAATATGCTTCCCATAGAGACAGGCTCTTGGAAGCTCGTTTAGTGATATGAAAGGCTTCTTGCCATTGTTGTACGGTAAATATCCTCCCTATGTCTTCTTCCCATTTCCACATGTAAGGGAGTTTGTGTTTAGCCATCATGCCCCCTAGTGTTTTGTGTGTTTAATTAGAATTTGGTATGTGCCTGCAGTATGTTTTTGACCCTTAGGTACATGAATAAGTACCTGGAAGCCAGGTAGAACTCACTTTGCAAGGTTGGGAATGCTTTTAACGTATCCTGGTCGTATGAAAATGCAAAAAAAAAAAAATCAAGTGGAACATAGCGGGGTTTTAAAAATCTTCTGACAACACTGTTACAGATTTCTAGTAAAATGCCAACCACCCATTTATATGCATTATTCTGCACTAAAAGACCAAAGGAAATGTAATCAAGAAGAAATTAAACAGGACAAAAAGTGTTGAATGAATTAAAAAGAGATAAGGGGGAGAACAAAAAAAAAAAAGTAATGATGAAGTAACACACAAGAATGTTTTAACTAATTTAAAAAAAAATTGTTACTTTTTACCACGTGTAGTTATTTGCATTTTATTAGTGTTTACACAATTGTCAAAAACTACTGCAGCACTTGCCATCTTTCTCAGTAAAAAACACAAATCTTTAAAGCCTTTACAAATCGCATTCTATGAGAATATTACAAAGGTAATACTTAGCCTTGTACCATTTTTCTTTTCTTATTTAACTGTAAAACATATGAAAATAAAATCCAACAGCATAGTGTGTATGTAAAAAAAATAAATTAAAAAAAAAAGGGATGACAAAAATCTAAATTTGGCACTCGCAGTTCATTGACCTCATTTCTTTTGAGTCTGTATTTTTCCTGGCTAAGATCTCTCCAACAAAATGACAGCACAGGAAAAACGCCCCAAAAGTATAAAACCGTAGGATAATTTAATACAATGAAATCAGTATTGCAAACTCTTATTTATTTAGCTGTATTCCGAAGCCTTGTGTTGACTCGCTGCCAAATATAGGGTGGTAGATATATATTTTTTTTATGTTTCTTTCATGAGAAGTTAACCAATAGCCGACTTCAGCAGCTACATTACTCTGATGTAAACAGGAGATCTAATACAATACAAGTGGCATAAAGTAAAATACATTTTATTTATAGTGCTTCTTCTTTCAATGTGTTCTGCACAACAAAGGTTCTTAAAACAAAAACAAACATTTGTAAAAAGAAACCCAAAAGGTATTTTTGACTATCTTAGCAGAATGGGATATTGAATGAATGATGAATCAGAACATTTTAAAACAGATTAAGTAGGTTGTATTCAGGAAAAACAAAACACAGCGAAGTAAGCCTGCACTCTAATTCCCACTACTCTTGGGCAGCAGCAATGGATATAGCAGTGGATACCGTATTCATCAGCCCAAATATATTAAAAATCAAAAGTTACCTGTGCAATATTCTGAGCTCCTATCCACAATTAAACTGAGGTTTAAAGTGTAAGCTATGCAAAAAATTCACAGTACGTCTTTCAGCTAAAATATTGTTTTCAAGGTCAAGGTCAAATAAAGAAAAAGGCTGAAACAATTGCCCAGAAGTGTTGTATATTTTATGCAGAGGGAACATGCTGGCATTTCGGTTCTGGATTGCCTTTATGGTTTGGAGGGGGGGTACATTTTTATTTAGGCCCCCCCCCCCCGCCACTCAGGGGTGGGGGCCAGGGAGGAGGACAATAGGTCCCCCTCCCTATTGGTATTTAGGGCCCCCACCCACCACTCAAGGGTGGGGGCCAGGCAGGAGGACATTAGGTCCCCCCCTTATTAGTATTTAGGACCTTTAGTGGACAAAAAATGCAGAATTGTGAGCAAGCAAATGACAGATACCCGTCAACGCATTTCGTTTAAAACATTTTTTTCCAAGACTTCCCTTCAGGTAAGATGGCTCCTGGGACCTCCTTGTACCATAACTTAATTGTGATAAAGTTCTCATTGTGCCATGACTGGTCCCTTGACGTATTAAAAAATTCTATGCTAGTCCCAATTTTTCAGCAAGCAATCATATTAAGCAGTTAAAACAGACACACATTTATCAAATGCTTTGTACTTTATTCCAGGAATATTTACAATCTTATTTTAGACAAGGTATTGTCCATGCAAAATGAATAATAAAAAAAAAATTATCCCCAAAAAGTATTTACAGGTAGAGGGAAAAAAAAAACAACAACATTTTTTTAAATGAACATATAAAAGTTGGAAGCATTATCAAGAAAAAAAAAAAAGAAAAAAAGTAAAAGTGTAATCATACAGGTTCATATTCTTAATGATGGGAAAACACAGTTTACATCAGAAAGGATTTAAATAGTCAGTAAATTGTCAGTATTACAAAGAAATATTTACATATGCACAGATCACAAAAGTCATACTTGTGGCAGTTAAGCATTTGAACTGCACAGAAGACTTGAGAAATTCTTCCCTTTTTTTTGTTTCCTGAAATCACTGCAGAGCTAGTTATTTATTGAGTTGGAACATATAGGTTATATATTAAAGGCTGCATCACATTTCAAAAAGGTATAATAATAAAACTGTGTGGTATTGCCTGTGCACAAGATTCTATACTGTGAATATATCAACAATGAGCATCAAAATCTGAGCTCATATTTGGCCAGTTCTACTAAAGCGTTACTTTGTGCTTCAACAGAACTGAGTAGAAGGCAGTCTAGGACGCACAACAGCTT